TGTTTAAACGCTCTTACTGAAAATAAATTCTATTGTAAACTCTAAAAAGAGATATCATATAATATCCAAAATAAAAAAATTTTGAAACAAACTATAATTGCACAAGTTGATTCTCACTAACCGGCTAACGTTACGCAAACGCAAAATTCCTAATATAAATTGTATCGTCATACATAGTTACTCTTTGTGAAAAATGTAAAATCAGTTTTGGAAGGTTAACTGTGGTCTTGGATAATAATATTTTCGTCATAAATTGTAATGGTTTAATCAGCTATAATATTTGCTGAAAGATGACAATATTTTATTGAGAAAATTGCAATGTTTTTAGAATTATATTTTTTTTAACATGAAATATTATCTAATCTACGATAAAATTATCAATCTATAAGAGATAAAATTATGATATTTCAATTTTATTTCCAAACTTTTCTCCATATATACATACATACATAAATGTATAATACGTATTTTAATTGTAGTTTTTTTCAATTATTGATAACTTTATAATATTATAAGATAGAACAAGTAAAAAAAATAGAGTGTACAAAAAAAGTGAAAGCAGTTTGTATCGGACGACAATTGTGAAGTGGAAAGCGTCGTCTACAATGGGCAGTAGCAATAATGAATTAAAGAGTAAGCGGGGGTTAGGGGCTTTCTACAATAAGTCGTTAGTCACTCATATCATACTAACTAAGAATTGACCAATCGTAATCGAATATTTTTCTTACGTTCAACTGTGATTGGTCAATTCTTACGATTTACGGTTTACGATCTGATATACGACGCATTGTAGGCAGCCCTTTTAGGACTAAACTGTAGGATTAAAGTCTTCTTATGTCCGAGTATCTACAATGGCATGTAAGGAAAGGTTATAATAAACCAATGTGAAAATTGCATTGGTTCCTATTGCGCGCGTTTTGTGTTATTGCTGAGCTCTCATTGGCTGAGAGTAAAAAAGTAGCCGTAGGAAATGAATTTCAACCATTTCGCTTATGGACTTATTCTGCGCCCTATTACGTCGAAAAACCAGCTTATTCCGACGTATTACTCCTTAATCTATTACTGCCACTGCCCATTGTAGACGCCGTTGAACATTTAAGTGACACTACTACATTTCAGTAGTGTTTTTACTGCACTAAGTTCATTTTTACTAGAGAATGCTGTAAATTTGCAGTTTTTTTCGTCTAACATGCAATGTTAGACCGCTCTTTATGTTCTATTTTAATATGTAGTAACATATATTGACTCATTTATTACATAATTGCAATTATATATAAGACGTGTTTGGGGAGCACGTCGTCAGCGCTATCACGTTTTATCTTTATCATTCATTAGACGTAAGATAAGAATAGAATTAGAAAGAACGCGATAGCGCCGACAGGCATACTTCCCAGACGCGAACCCTATTGAAGAACTGTTATCTATTGAAAAACATTGTAAATTTGCAGTGCTGGCATTGATTCTTATTTTTTATTTTGATGAATAAATTGATTAAAACTTATATTAAAAAATAAATTTTTTTAATTTAACACATTTTTTATTAGAAATTTTAGATAAGTATAATATTAAATTTACAATTATTATTTATTAAATGTCTGATTATCGCTATGGCAATTAATACCAAATGGATGTGCTAAATATAATGTACTTTTATCGGGAGAATTAGCAGAGAATAAATATCCATGAAATAAATAAAATTGTTTAGAATCGTAGCGTTCGTAGAAGTTCATCGTAAAAAGAATTATGTTTTTTCCCTTTAAAGAATTATAAAAATCAATAAATCTAATATTTTGTTTGAAAGGGAACGAATATTTTTCTTACGTTCAACTGTGACTGGTCAATTCTTATGATTTACGGCTTACGATCTGATATACGACGTATACGTCTACCTGGCGATTAACCGCAATCGAAATGGACCGCGAAGGGCTTGAGGGATACAAAGGTCGGATCGAGATCTAACCGACAAAGGGAAAGGGGGGATAGGGCACCGGCACTGGATAGAAAAAGGGATACGC